AACATACCAACTCAAACATTGTAGTGTGAACAAGTACTCTTATTAAGAAACTACTACTGAGCAGTGGGTCGGTGGATGTTACCCGTTTGTGGTTCTCTGAACTGTGTCCACACAACTCCAGTTGCAGCCACCCCTGGTTGTCTGTCTGCATTTCCTCCACTGTGTTGCCTTTTGTGTTTCCTCCAGGAGGGAGGGGAGGTGGGGGGAGACTGGTGAGGTGAGACCACCGGGGATGTCGGTTCAGGCTGCTAACACGTGGAAAAACAATCAAACCCTTAATATATATACATATATAAGTAGATTAAACAAGACATTCAATAAACATATAAGAAAACTGCAGGATTTAATACAGAAATCAATAAAAACAGTGAGTATTAGTGAAGACACTGAATTTGAGTAAAAATGTCGCCATTACAGCCTTTTTTTTTGCTTTAAGTGGTATGGGTGTTAACACTCAGATCCAATCTCTTATACTGCAAGATTTCAATCTTAAACACACCACTTCCAAACCAAGAAAAGGCCAATAAAAGCCAATTTGAAAATTTGTTTTATCTGCATCGTCACGGATATGGGATGGTCAAGCCACCAGATACAAACAGAAACGAGTCAAGGAAGAGAGCTACATAACTGACAAGTAAGTCAACACATAGAGAACTGAAGTAGTTGGAGCTACAAGTAATCAAACACGCACAGGAAACAGCAGTTCCCCAGCAGCTTATCTCCAGTAACTGCTGGGTTCAGCTGTTGACAGAAACATAAAGTGTGTGTACTATGTTGTGAAGTATGTTTGTTGAACTCATTGCTTTCATTTACTGTGTATGCACATACAAATGAAATTATGACTGCAGAAGTGACGCGCTCTCTTCTGCTATCATGTAGCTTTGTATTTTGTGCATTTGAGGAACAAAGGCAAACATGGTATAAACCATTAACAAGTTTAAAGTGACAGTATTTAAGAAACAGTGGTGTCCACATGGGGACAGTAAAGTCACTGACCTGTGGTTCTATGCTGGGTGCTAGCGGCTGGATGACCTCGTGGACCGGAAGTGATGTGGATGAGGGGGGACCTTTCTTGTTCTGGTGGCCCCGGCCCGGTGGTCTGGGTATTACTGCAGTACCAGGGGCTGGGTACAAGCCCTGGCTATCTGTGTCCTGGTACAGTGCAGCGTGTCTCGCTTCTGCCTCATTCTTCCCCACCACAAACCTGGGCAGCGGCAGGTCCTTGACTGGTGAGACACACACTAAAGTCAGGTGACATAACACACTTATCATGGTGACCAAATCACTCTTTAGCGTGCTGCAGTTGTCAGGTATCATCACACGGTGGTGTTTATTTTGCGGATGTGTTTCTCTCATCTGCTTCTGTCTCAGTTACTGATTCCGAGCATTTCCCAGAATGCCTTAAGTAGGGGCATACATTTGCTGCTATCAGCTGGGGTTTATATGGTTTGTGAAGGGAGTGACAGCTGTATAATGAGAACTAACAGTATGATTTATTGCTTTCAGAAAGAGCTGCTTCCTCAATATGAAGCACAGGGAATGTAGATCTATCCAACATTCCGATGGTGCAGTAAATACTGCATTTATAAAATGTGGAAATGCAACATCTGATAAATGAAACTGAAAAAATCTACTTCAGCTCTGGTTTGTTTACCAATTCTGAACATCTGTGTTATAAAATAAACAAAAAAAACAAACACAAAAATGAAGTAAGCAAGGCAGAAAGTAACGATCTAGACGTGTAAAAAAAAAAAAAAGTCAGATGTAAAGAGTGTAAAATATAAATATAACTCCCAAACTACACAGAAATTACTGGAGGGTTAATATTTAAAGGAAGTGATTTGTCATGGACTGTAATCCTGGAGATAACAAATAACAAGGACTCATAGAATCCAAACCAAATGGTGATCAAATAAGTGAAGTTTGTGTTGTGTTAGATTCTTATCTGTAATCTGAGGGGAGTCTAGTCGGCATACAAAACCCCAACTCACATCATCTTAATATCTTAAATAATATTACCAATACATATTTTAAGGAGCAAACAGTTTATAAAGGGATAGAAAAATATGAAAACAATCTCACTCTCTTTTTTAAAGAATCATAAGTAAGATACAAACTGTGACAATTTTTAACTGAAAAATTAATTCCTCAGAGCTTTTCAGTAATCGAACCAAACCTCAAACCTCCTTTGGCATCTAGTTAGTCAACATATATACAGACACAAGCAATATCTGGCTGCATACAGCCCACCGGCACTGCAATGATTCAGCAATAAACTGATTCGCTGAAAGAAAATTAAACCACCACGGGTTTCAATAATCAGTCAGTGGTTTTGTTTTGTTTTTTTTTTTTTCAGCAAAAATCCTAATCATGTATTGCTTCCAGGATCAGAAATATGATCAATTACAGCAAATCAAATATTTTTCTCTTTTGGATGTTTGATCCTGCAAAATCAGCACTTTAAGAACTTGTAAAATTGTGCAGGGAATTTGTTTGTGTAAAATCTTTTGAATCAACTATATGAACAAAAAACTTCATTACAGTCCCATAAGCAACTAAAAATATCCATTCACAAGTCCAAGTCTACAGTCTCATCAAAATCGTGTTTGAAAAGACAGGAGTCTTATGTGCTCCTGTCTTTTAGTAAACAGTAAAGACACGACAACTGAATCAACACTATCGCTGTATTCCATGCACAGTTTTCTATGAATGCTTCTCATACACACATAAAAAGATTCAGCTCCTGCAACAACATGCTATCCAACATTTTGACACAGTCACAGTGAGTTTAGGCTTTTTGAGAGCACAAAGTATCATTTTTAACTCAATCCTATGTAAAATTACCTCTGTCAACTGTTGAGACAGCAACAACTTTATAGAAAGTTCAAACATCCCTAAACCTAACAACCATTTTGTGTTCATTTTGCTACGAGGAAGTGGTGCTTCCTTTGGTTTGAATCAAATTATGAAATCATTTCAGTGTGTTGCAATATTTCAGGCCAAACAAGTAACTTTGTGCAGTGAGTGACTGAAACACCTTCCCAGTGGCACCAGAGACAAACACAAAAACACAGTTTTGCAGTTAAACCCTCCGGAGTTTAGACGACAACCTCTGTTTAGTTAAGACAAATAGAAAACCAGTTGAAATAAGATCTCATCATCCAGTAACACAAATATTAGGATATCAGCTGCACTTTCTTTTTTCTTTGTGCACAAACATAATCAGCAATTTGGGGTCATCCTGCCCTACCAACTGATTAAGATGAACTGTTTTTTATTTAAGGATGATGTGTTTACTGACAACATTTGAAAGCATCCAGAAGGTTTGATGAAGGCTTTTCAAAAACGTCTCATTTTAAAACAGATTTCAAAGGCACCAGCTTATCTTTTTCTTGGGCTTAATAGCACAGCCTGCAGTCTGTAGAGATTACAAGGCCTCTATATTTATTAGACATCAAGGAAAGATAACATGCACCTTCCAGTAACACATGTACACGAGAAAGGAAACAGGCATCGTGTTTATCCATGTATAGGCCTTTCCCAAGAAGCTGGATTATTTAAATGTTTCACAAAATATTTTTTACTTAGCCTTTGAGTATAATTCATAGCTGAAAGCATCTTTTTTTTTTTGCTAAACTTCTGAGCACATATTTTAGATTCGAAGGACAACAGACGACTGACTTTCTGAGCCATGACCCTTAACATTCAGTAAGCTATCATTTCTGAAATAAAAGATTATGACCTCCCCGGTGCAGCAAAAGCTTAAAACTAAAAAGAGAAGTCGAGCAGCATTTGCCAGAGTTGTTATGCGATGGTACTGTTTGGTAATCCGTGCTTGTACGACCAAGGAGAAGAACGGGCCAAAAAAGGTGCCCCAGACAGTGACAATGATTGAATTCAATTTTGAACTCACCCGAGTTGAGGCTTTCCACCCTCAGGGGCAGCCCAGACTGGGCGATGGCAATGAGCTTCAAAGCAATGTAGAACTGGCTCCGTCCGAAGTGACCCAGCCGAGTGGCTCCACATAGCTCTGTGATCTAAACCCACACACAAGGGCAAGGACAAACAGTTAGCGACAGTGTTTTCATCTGAGAGTCTGGTATCAACCGTTACGGATCCAAACAACAGAGCTGGTCTTATCTGTGACAAAATATACATTGGAAACTTGAAATATCCAAGAAACAAACCATAAAGACAAAAAAACAACACATGACTTACATTTTAAAGTTTGCTTTCACAACTGGATAAAGTGTTCCTACATCATGATTAAACACAACGCTGTAAACACTGATATGTTGTACTTGTTCAAGGCACCAGTACAGCACAAGCAACAGTCTCTTGTTGTGTTCACCTGGCAGGCGCTCAGTGAGTCTTGACAGTAATAAGTCTGATTATCAGATATTTTGTTGTGCTTTACGTCACACTGAGCAGGTCTTGTGCAAAATGTCTGATAGAGTAACACATGTGAAACTATGAGCTGTTTGAAATGTGCGTTAATACACACAGGAGATAGTGTGGTTACATAAAGACGAGCAACACAGCTGAAACCTGTGGATGGTATTAAACTTCATAACAGCAGGCAAACTCCTCAAGTGTGAGTCCATCAGCACTGAGAGCCGCCACACCACCACCACCACCACAGCAGCAGCAGCAGCAGCCCGCCACAGCTCACTGATCCCTTTCTTGCTGACAAAGGACTTAATGTGAGTATGTGTGGATACAAAGCACCAGTCACTTTTCTCGGCCTGTTACAACATGACACTGTAGCTGTATGTGGCTGGCAGGGCCTCACAGTGTTCAGTGTAGATTTTGAAAGTGGAGGATTATAAGGCTGCCTAATTCTTTCACCACACAGCTCCCCTTGTTGACCTTGAAAAGGATGCTGACTCACAAACTGCAAATATTGGCCTGCTGAGAGACCTGGAGTCACAAGAATGAGCTGCTGCAGTTTAACTGGCCGCTCATGACTCGGAGTGACCGGACTGGGCAGGGATCTGCTCCGGATGGGATTATAACCATAACATGAACATAGCAACCTGACAAGACACTAATGTCATAGAGGGTTAATACATATTTTAAAAAGTCTGTGTAAGAAACAGACTGACATCTGGGTATGTAGTAAGTGTTATAAGTCACAATGACCAGTAGACAATGTGACATTGGCTCTGCATTTCCACCATGTCAGCTCAGCGACTAACAGAGAGGCAGATGTTGATGGAGCCAGAAGACAGGAAAGAGTGGGCAGTAATATGAAGCAAGGGGCTGATGAGCACATTATTTCTTAAACACTGGACGTCTTTCAACAAATACCTACAAATGAAACCAGGAATCGATACACCAGCTCCCCCTTTGTGTATAAAATGTCAGCTAAAGCCTAATGTCTCAGCTCTGGCTAACTATGTGACTTGGCTGCCTACTCTCTTTGGCTAAGGCTAACATTAGCCAGAAGAAGGTGTGTCTCTTTTGCTGCGCAGCGTTGCTAACCACCCCGGCTAACCACTGCTAAACTGGCTGACAGGTCAGCTCTAACAACCAGCCAACTTTACCATTTACCCATTACCAGCGCCTCGCTTCGTGCTCAGCCACACAGCCTTAACGTGAACAGTTTGAAAACTGGCACTTGCTAAAGCTAGCTTACCTGCAGGACAACTTCGCTGGGTAGCTGGGCCGCCCGGAAAAGGTCAAGAACTCTCCCATTGGAAGCCACTTTTTTGGTGTTGTCCGTGTCGCAGTAAACGAACAAATCCGAGTAATATTTCTGCTCGACATCAGTCAGCGTTAGACTTTCCATCGTAGTACCAATTGACCCTGAAAAGCAGACTAGTTGGCTGTTGATTAGCCCTTAGCCAATGGCTGGGGCAGGATCCAAAAATGGGCGAGACTTCAGGATCCCAACTTAGCTAGTGCCAAGCTAACGTTCAGGGTTAGCTGTAATAATGTTCACTACGCGCCGTGTCGACTTGTTGTCGTGTGCTCCCAATCTCTGTAAAGGTCCCCAATACTGTCGACTAACCCAGAGAACAGACCCCAGCCCGAACAATCAAATAAGGAATGCTTTCACACAGTTAATCACTAAGTTAACTTGTTGGGCCAGCCAAGCCAAGTCGCCAACAGCTGGCTAGTAGTGCAGCGAGCTAACTGCTACCTTCAATCAAAGTCAGCGGCACTAACGTTAGGCTAACTAGCAAGTCGCAAAGTGCGTCCACCTCCTCGACCCGGACATCTACCGCGTTAATCTCACGGCGTAGCACTCCTTCTCTCTGTAATCCGGTGTAGGATGGTGCTTCTGCGTTTCGCTGGAAACAAATTCCTCTGCGGGGCCGTTAGAAGTAAAGTTTCAGGGTCTTTGGGTTCCTTCCTCTAGTAATCATAGCCGCCATTCCTGCCACCAGCGTCAAGTCAGCTGGAATTGGCAGGGGACTTCCGGTTTGACTCTTCAAATTAAAACATGCGTATGGCGTCGGAGTTACACCGCTCAGTCAGAATCTCAAGTGTTAGAATCTTGACACATTGGGGATTTTGCTCAGGATTTTTTTTTACAAATTAATTGGAAATAAAATTATCATGAAATGTGGCGTGCTGTGCTCTGTCCCTACATCATCTTCTGCAATAATATCTCAGTGAGTGATGAATGGCTAGACCAGTGGTTCTCAAACTGTAAGATATGGAATCGGTTTTATTTGTGATTTACGGAGCTAAAGTCACATGTAAAGGTATGCCTTGGAAATGCTTGTTTTCATGGGTTGTATTTAGTAGTTATATGGATGAGTCAGGGAGAAGAGATGCAGGTGTGAACAAGGGAAGGGAGGGTGGCAGTTTGCCCATAAAGTCTAATAGCACCAGCCCCTAAACTGAAAACTAGTGATAATCAGAGTAAATCTGCTAACTGTGGAACTGACTAAATAAAAAATAAAAAAAATTTGTCCTTAGTCTCAAGATCTAACTTTCAAACGAAAGCAATTTATAGTAAAAACGTACAGAATAGCAATCTAAATGTTTTTTTTTTTTTCGTTCTGACTCATCTACCCGTTGGCATATTTTGTGAGTTACTTTAATGGCCTGTTATAAGGCTCATCCAAATGGAAAATCTCAATAAAAGAAATCACATCGTAAAGTAATGTAACAACATTTTAACTCAACCGTATGACATTATTTTTGGGGACTTTAACACATGGTTGAAAGAACAGGTGGAGAGATCCAGAGCAACTTTTTCCACAATTCTTTCTTTTGTGACAAAAACAAACAAACAAACAAACAAATTTAGAACTGGGTTATTTATAAGACACTTGGGCTTTAATCTGAAATGTGCCACTACTACTACTACTACCACTGGTCAAAACCGAGTCAAAATAACATTTTCACAAACTATTCTAGCAAGCTGTGTTTTGCTGTCTTGTATGTAGACATAAGCCAAAACTGACATGGTGCACATTCCTAAATAGTTTTGTGTTTATACCATCAGCTGGAGATGTTTTTATTGTTTTATTTTCTTTAAATTTAATACATGATTACAGTCACTTACAGCATAGTTTCAGCTCATGGGCAAATTGTCTGTCTGAATATTCAAGCTATTCATGAATGTGTTGTGCTTTCATAGTGCATATTCCTAAATTAATCAGTGTTTCTAGTTTCCATACAAGTAATATTCCAGCACAACAAACTCTTTAAAAAGAGGAATATAATGTAAGCAGAGGCCTTACAGGTTCTTTTTGTTTTGATTGTCAGTGTCACAGTAACATGTCATGTTTTATTTATGAAGAAAAGACAAAACTGTGCATTTAACTTATTAGGATATAAACTATTGTGATGATAAGAATACATTTAATTGTCTGTTTGGTAAGGCAAAAAAACAACAAAAAAGAAATAAAAATCAGCTCTTATGGCAATTCCAATAAAATCTCCCTTGAATGTTCCGCTAATGAATCATACATGCTACAAATATCAATAAATAAAGACAACTGTTAAAGATAAACACAAATCATTCAAATAGGAGAAAACTGTGCCAACAAAGCTCTTTTGTTCTGAAGGCAGACTGTGCATACTTCCGGTGTCACCTCACTCTCATGTGATCTAACTTCACGTGTTTGACGTCACTGGACTCCGAGCAGCGCGAGCTCGCTTGGTCTGCAGGGACCCGGATGAGTGATTTCATAATAAAAGCTGCACTCATTCCAATACTTGCAATTGATGGAGCGTGTACTGTGGTTAGAATACAGATGTTACACTCTGTGTCTCACAAAGGTTACACTGAAAAAGGTTTCTCTGTGTTGAATAATTGTAACATTATTTCATGAAAATGTGACATAATGTTAGAAAAAATTAATAATGGGCGTCATCAAGCTATGTTTTGAGGATATTCCTGGGGGATATTGCCAATATTCTTGACATCAGATAGTGAATGCTCACAAATCTTTTTTCTTTCTTTTTTTTTTTTAAGGAAAAAAAACAGGACATACCAGCTGATGAACAGAGAATCCTGGAGTTTGTCTGCCTGTTTGGTTTGTCATCATTCCAACACACAGCACACAAAGGCACAACTTGTCAAACATTATGATGATGCTTTATTGTTTGTAATGCATGAGAGAGACACGGATTGGATGGAGGATAAAAATGTGAAATGATGGCAAGAAAGAGGATCAGAGTCATTTGTACTAATGAAATAACACAATGGAAACGCAGCCTTCCCAAATAAATGATTTAGTAGTAACACAGAAAAAAAGGGATGGAAGCCATTTAATGCAGTGAAATAACACAATGCAATCTGCTTTATGCCTTTGAGACGAGGCTGCACTCTGCATTGATTATGTTATTTTCAGTCAGCATGTTAAATGATTCTGATGGCCAAACATCTGGGCCTGTCTCTGTGTTACAGTGAGGCTCTGCTTGTTGAGCAGCCGTTTAAGCGGCTGTGAGAAGGACCAGAAGAAGCAACAGGAAAGGAGGACAACACACCTCAAGCCTCCTCAGGACCTTGTATGGGCCAATGCCCCTGAAAGCATCGCATTGTGTCACGATGAAGTCAGATGAGCCTTGGTGCTGCCTTCACGTGTTATGGGGAGTTTGACCACAAATGAAAACAAATTTAAAAAAAAAAAAACCTTTTCAGTTAAAAAACAACAACAACAACTAAATTTTGGCACCTTGCAATTGCTATTATGCAATAATTACTTAATCTCGGGTATGTTTAGCTTGTTGCAAACATCACTTTTTTACAGCAGCATTCTCTGAGTGGCAAGTGTGACAGATTTAGTCTTTGAGGGGAAAACAGCATAATGTCACTCATGCAAACATTTCTGAAGCTTTCAGTCATATGGTTTCACTGCTGAATATATATTATTTACTGAGCTAGTTCTTTTTTTTTTTTTTTTTAACCCACTCAGATATATTTCTATATCTTGGAGCGCTCTGTGTTGTAAGGTGAAGATCTTACATTATTATACTACAGAGAAAACTCCAACAAATCCAAATGATTCCCCTTTGACTAGCTCTTTGGTGACAGTGGGAACTCTCTTTTAACAGGAGGAAACCTCCATCAGAACCAGGCTCAGGCATCTGGGGTAAGACAACAGCATATAGAGAGAAAAACAGAGAACCGACATTTTCCGAGGAGACCCTGAACGCAGCAACATTTTCCACCGGTTCCGACTGATGAGTGAGTCGTCCATCACCTCTTTAGAAGCAAAAGAACCACAAGTGATCAGGTAAAATCTTTGTATGTTAAGCGTTGCATTTGACCTGTTTTGGTGTTGACTTGTATGAACCAGTTTGTCACACATTAAATCCGTGTCGCGGACTCAGCTCGGTTCCTCTCCCAGATCATTTGTCTGACGCTAGAAGCTAACGATACCGGCGAGCCCACATCTGCAGCTCACAGGAAAATTTCCTTTTTTGCCTGAAGTCAGAAAGAATATCCCTGAACTGTGGATGTTTTTCAGAACTGGAGATCCACTGCACACGCTTAACATAAATGAATTAAAGGCAGCCTTTGTGCTCGGATGCGGCTAGCCGGGACTGCTAATTCCCTATTTCCGCATTGACAGTCCGCCCTGCTCATGTTGGAGCTTGTTACTTGATCTCAGGGCTGCAGTCCCTTCTGCTCTTTAATCAAAGATCATAGAACTGTTTCTTGTCTACATATCATCAGTTTTAGTTGCATGTTCATGGATGTACTGGCTATAACATGCATTCTCTCCTCAGCAGAGAATCTCAGTCCCAAAGTCCATTCGGAAAAATGTCAAAATTAGACTTACCTCGCTAGTAATCCAATTCCACCACTGGGAGTGGAAGTGTTAATACTTAATCTGCATTACAGCCTTGTTTTGTAAACTTCGGCACACATGTCATGACCAAAGCAGCATTCAATGTCACTTAAAGGTCCCATATTCTTCTTAAAATATGATAATTATCATGTAAAACAGTAATACTGAGAAAATAAGAAATTCGACTTGCTAATAACAAAGACTCTTCAAACTTCAAACGACAACGGAAAAACAACAGATTGTGTGAGAGGGACACATATATGCTCTATATGCGCTTTTTCTAGTAAAAAAATAAATAAAAAATACTCAAACTGATGAATCTATGATCAAAAGTTGACCATAAATGCTATAGCTGTCGACTAATCGATTATTTGTTGCAGCTCCTCTTATGTCCTGCTAACAAGTCTGATGTTAATATGTTTGTCTCTTGATTTTGTTTTGCCTTCCAGCAGCCATGGATGTCCCACATGAAATAAATTTGCTGGTGCAGGAGATTCAGCGGCTCGGCAGCAAAAGTGAGTCAAGGCTGTGATTATATGTTGTGTGTGGGATGCAATACGGAATCCTCTGAGTTTTAATAAAGCACAAACATGCAATCATGTAGTTTTGATTAATAGTCCCAACTCACCACTCCTAATGCTGGAAGCATAAATAACCTCCAGCTCTGGGTCACACCACCTCGATAGTATTTCAGTGGTGCCCTCCCAACATGTCTCAACTCTCAGTTAAGTGATGTGGCTCATGATGCTTCAGGCTTATTGTAAAACTGTGGGCTGTTATCTGAGATAAAGAGATAACCATCTGTAATCTAACCGTCTTATTCTGCTGCTCTCGTGTTTTTACACAGGTTCACTGCTGTGAATTAGAAGTTGTTTAAGCAGTTGATGCTTTTATGTTTAGATCATTTAACTATTTTAGCATTTTTGCTTGAAAATGACTTACACTACTTACCTGATGACTTCTTTTATCTCTTCAACTGTGCTTGAATCCATCAGTTTCCAAACTAATTTGTCATATCTGTAATAACTGCTTTACCCATGTCTTCTTTCAGATGCTGACGGCCAAACTAGTGTCAAGTTTGGCGTTTTGTTCAGTGACGACCGCTGTGCCAACATCTTCGAGGCGTTGGTGGGCACCCTGAAGGCCGCCAAAAAGAGGAAGGTGATCAACTTTCAAGGCGAGCTGCTTCTGCAGGGCGTCCACGACAACGTCGATATCATTCTGCTCCAAGAATGAGACCGACGTTGGAACCAGCAGCTACTGAATCCTCCCAAATACTGAGCTTCTGCAGTGTGCTGGCCTGTCACTGAGCTCCTGTTCTCACTTTATTTCCCTTCATTTATAAAGCTCAGTGTTTGAACCCAAATGCAATAACCAATCAGATCAGACCTTACTTATGGACCCAGCTGGCATGTGTGCATATGAATTTAGTTTTATTTCAACGTGCCAGATTTGAGAATATTTTCCGGTTTTCCGGGCTGAACTGTGAACAATCATAGTTTCAGATTACGTGGAAAAGTTGGGTTTCTTTCTCAGGCGCTGCCATTTTATCAACCACAGGTGTCATTTTGCTACACTTTTAAGACTATAAACGCACAAAAAAGAAAATCAGGAATGTAATATTATATGTAAGGCTTGTTTTTTGGTTAATTTTGAGTAAAATTACAGTGGATCACAACCAAATGCCTCTATTTTCAGTAGTTTTGGTGTCAGGATAAAGGACACACAGGACAAGATGCTGATTAGATTTAGCAACTTTAGCAAACTACTTCTTCACATTTCTAATTGGACTCTTCTGATCTTGACTATTGCACCAGCTGCACTCGACAAATTCTCCCTTTATGCTCTCAAAAGGCAGCGGGAGTTAAAACCTCATTACCTAAAACGTTATGTAATGTGATGAGTGTTACTGCAGAAAAAATCTAGTGCATCTGTAAGACAAAGAGTAGTGTGTGTCCACAACAGCAGCACCAAATGGCCGTTCCATTTATTGTTTACATGAGCCATTTCTACTACCTCTTGTGGACTTTGTAAGAAGACGTTATCAGACCAGTGCTTTTGGAAATTCCTTCATAGAAACTACAACCACACTGACGGCTCAAGTGCATTTTAGGAAAGACGACGCTCCTTTTTGTACTCATTGCAACGTGCTACAGTAGTTTTTAATTCCATCTTTTTATATGTAGAAAGAATTTTCTCTGCTAAAAAAAAAAAATTCCAAAAATTGCCTTTTTCGTAAGAAATAGCTGATGAGCAAACGGCGAATGTATTTCTGTGCAATTTTTATTAGCGTATAATTACAGGGTGATTGGTGCCAAATGCAAAAGATGAATTTGTATTGATTCTCAGGACCAAATCAACACAACCAAAATATGTTTAGTAATTGTCCTGTGACTTAAATTAGTGACACAAAATGTGCATTTAGAGTTTTACTAGTGTTTTAAATTTTAGCACTCTTTGTTCTCTACTGTAGGTCTGATGAAACTTGTAGACCAGATGTGTTCCTGAAGTACTGTTACTCGACTCTGTACGGAGGCTGTCAAACGACGAAACAGTTCGTATTCTGTAGCTGAGCTTGAACAAACTGGGCCCAAGTAGTTTTAGCTTTTTAGACGTCAAAGCAAATCTTTACCTTTTATGCATCAGATGGACCAACTTTTTTTTTTCTCCCACCCAAATGTAACATCTCCTGTTTGACAGCTGCTGTGCTCATTTTCATAACATCAAACTCATTTTGCAGTTGTTCGTTAAATCAGGCTACGCTTGTGTTACCGTCCACACATTATTTGCTTTTCATGCTGATAAGAAGCAGATTATCAGCCTTGTGGAACTACACCTGGTCTGCAAGTTTTCTAAGACCCATTTCATATTCACTGCTGTTGGGTCAGCCTCGCTCAATCTTTTATGTTCAGGTGTTTGCTGTTTAAGTTTGACTTGAAATGGGTGATTTATTTCTCTGGATCAAAACTTTGGCGAAATCAAGAAAACCAGATGAGCTGAATTGTATTGTTGTTGTAAATGAAACTAAAATGTAACCTGGTTGCATGACACATAATCATCATGAGTAAATAATGGGAGAAGTCTGAAAAGTTGTGGGACGAATAGAGGAAAGCAAGACCGAAGAAGAACATGCTGCTTGCATCACTGTCGTTCATATATCCTGCTGTTGCTCTGGAGAGACTTTCAGATGACTTTCCAATATACTAATTACAAGTCGACATTTGGCAAGAGAAAGGAAGTCATGATCAGAGCAGTGCCAATACCTCCAGCCATTTCTGTGAGTGAGTGGAATGCCTGCGTGATGTGTTCAAGTGCATCATTACTGTCTTTTGTACTGGCAATAACACATTCCTAAACAAACAGAGGTTTCTGTTACTGTGGAATACACTCCAAGGAATAAAATCTTTACACTTGAAGCTTTGAAACCTGCCTTGTTGAGTGTGTGTTGTTTTTTTTAAGATCTTAAAATCCTGATTTGCATTTTGCAAAAAAAAAAAAAAATGTTATTGATATCAAATATGCAAAATTAATACTTTACTTCACTGGGCTGGTTTCTTGTCAAAATACAAGAAACTTAAATTAGTTTGGATTTTAGTCATCAAGCTTATAGTTAATTGCGCTGCTATAGGTTAGCTCTGATTTGTTTGGCCATTGAGTGTGTTTTGGTGCAAGAAAAGTGTAAGAGTAATATTATAATATACTGTATCACTAAAACATTTGTTTTTGACAAGGAACCGAATTGTAGAGCAGCTTCAGAGGTTTGTAAATCATCTGTAGGCGACTTTTATTGGTAGATGACATGCAAGCCATCTTTAAAATTTCAGATTTATGAATGGACTTTGGTTCCCTAATCTCGCTTTTATGTTTTTTTTGTACATTCATTTACATTACATTACATTCATTCGGTTGGTAAAATGTTTGGCTAAAATGTAGACACAATAAACTGTAGTTCAGATACTGTCATTTATATATACACTATTCTACCTGCCTAAATACTGTGTAGCTGCAAACCTTCAGTTAATTCACAGGGATTTTCATGGAATACCACCACCCAAGCTGATGAAATATGTGCTGTCATAATTACTAAATAAGGCAGTGATGCCTCCCTGCAGGTATGTGACGCTCATCACTTCTCCTCTTCCTATGTGACCATTCTCCTCACTGAGTCTGCTGCTGCATTCAGGTACCGTGGGAATATCTGACACAGCAAACTTTACAATTTCAATTGGTAACCAGATATTATAGAAGTCTGTAGACCAACAAAAACTGCACTTAAGTTGCATTTACCTTGAGTATTATGTGATCTTTTCATTAGTAGATCTCAGATTATGAGTAAGTCTTCAACAAATATAACCCGTGTCTGATAACTGTTAGATTTGTGTATTTTTATGGTATCAGTTTTCATCTTACAGAGAATTTGATGTATACATTTCTACTGTGGTTCATTTCTCAATCCCCCTGACCTGGTCCATAATTGAATGTGAAAATCTCCAAGACTCTCTTAGTTTCAGTTTCCAGCAAAGAGTCTATTGCACAGAACAAGGCATCAAGTTTCAGTTTCCAGTAATGAGGTTGACCAGCTGCAGCACAGGGATCAGACAGTCAGTTCCGAGTCACCAAAAGGCAAATACTGGACATAATCTGTAGCCAAAAAAGATCAGAGCTGGCAAAAGTACTCACATTCTTTACTTAAGTAGAAGTAGAGATACTTGTGTAAAAAATAGACTCTGGTAAAAGTAAAAGTACTGACTCAACTTCTTTACTCAAGTAAAAGTAAGAAAGTACAGGTTCAGAAATGTACTTAAGTACAAAAGTGAAAAGTAAAAATGAATTTTTAGCTTCAATGATACGCAATGCCTCTTTTGATAACTGTGAAATGAAAAAAGTTTTAAGCAAACAAAATAGGATTGTTTTCATCCTTTAAGAACCTGCACAGTGCTCGAACAGAAATCTTTTACAAAATCTTTTATTGAGCCTCAGTAGAAGCTGGTTCTCAAAGTTCTTTGAATGAAGACGTGCCCTTTTGGGTCTGAAAATCAGTTCTGCAGTGCTAAAAAGCCTCTGGCAGGCAGCTGAAGCAAGCAGGGGTGTGTTGAGCTTCAATGACAAATTGCACACTGCTGGGAGAGATAAAGACGTCTGTTGTTACGTCTTTTACGTCATGTCGTCATCCGCGGAGGTTAAAACAAGTAACGAGCCAGTTTTGAGAATGTAAGGAGTAGAAAGTCTAGATATTTGTGTTCAAATGTAGGGAGTAAAAGTAAAAAGTCGTCAGAAAAATGAATACTCAAGTACAGATACCTGCAAAATCTACTTCAGTACAGTACACTTCTGAAAAAGATAGACAAATTATCTGGTGGCACCCAACGTTACTTTGTAAATGTCAGATTTTCTAAAGACAATTTGAACTTTGGTGACATCGCTTCTACCCCCCATCCTCCACCATAAACACTGACTTAATGTGTTACATTAATGCATAGCTTTTGAAATAAGATTATGATCCTTTGCACATTTCA